AGCCTGGGGTTTTTGCACAAACATGAGGCCTCCAGGAAGCTTCCCACAGTGTGCAGGTGTCACTGCGTTCCTGGCCGAGCTGATAAGCCGGCCTGATGAAATCTTTGCTCTGCTCCGAGAATGCTGTGCCTACAGCCCCATTTCCCAGAAACTGTTGGTAAATGCAGTCTTCAAAATTTTTTTCTTTAGTGGGACTTCTACAGCCTGCTGCAAGACTGGAACGCCACTCCCACCCGTTTTTTCGTTGCTTTCTCATTTTTTTCTTTTGCTGTGTGCCCTCCCTCTTCCCTTCTTCTGTATCATCTCCCAATTATGAGAAATCTCATCCAGCAAGTGCAAAATGGAGGTTGCTCTTTAACCCCCTTTTCGGGTATGAAAAGACAGTGTTGTACACAGTAATCCATAATCAGTCTGAGGTGCTCCTGTTGAAGCAGGGCAGGGCACTATGTACAAAGTGGGAGATTTGTGGGAGAACACACACAAGGGTCCCAAGTTCAGACCCCTCGACCCCCTTGAACACTGGGAGAATATCAGCAGGTAGATCTTGGTTCTGCTCTTGTTGCAGTAGTGTGAGGCTATCAGTGGCATTTGCTATTGGATGCTTATTGCCCCAGAATAGTCAACATTACTGGGTGTAAAGAATTCTTTTCTGCACCCAGATAGCTTTTCTGCCAAATGAAACAGGAATTTCTACACCTAATTTTTTTTTTCAAACATCAGTTCTGGATTTAGGCACCTCGCTCCTGGGATAACTGCCCAGCTTCATAGCATTGGCAGTCTTTGGAGAACTTGTTTGATGAGTTGAGGGCCACATATATATGAAATGGAGATAATAATTTAACAGTTAAAAGTAAAAGGGAATAATTTAAAACTTAAATTTGGTCTTAAATTACTATGACCCATAAAAAGACCACAGATTTTTTTAAGTTCAGAAAAATATTAACAAGATATCTTTTATTCCAGTGAAGGCCCAGGCATGAAAGACCTTACATAGGAGAAAAGCAAAAAAAGGCAAAGCAGGCTATCATAAAAAGCCCACCACAAAGGCCAGCAAAAACATAACCAAAATTACTAGTATTACTAGCTTTTATTTCATATACAGCCTATAAACATGGTCAGATCTTCTCTTCACAATCTTGCTACCAATAAATAAAAACACAGGACAATGTTTTAATTTCAAAGTGATTTCAGCCTTGCAGTTTGGACTTCCTTTCTCCTAAATAGAGCTCAGTGAGTATCTGTAATGAAGGGAGCTTCCATACACTTTTGCAGAAAGTGTTCCTCTGTTCCTCTATATCCATTCCCTAAACTGGAAACCATAGTGCAAATAAAGTTTTGAGAATTTTCTAGCTATGAATGGCTAGAATGGTAAAGGCCCTGGTAACTGGTCGCCAGGTTACTTGCTGCAGATCTGTTACAAACACATGCATGTCACACGCAGACCTAAAGGCAGAGAGACAGTTAACCAATGCAGTGGGTAGTACGGGCTGGAAAAGCACATAACCCAGCTTGCTGGGTGTTGTGTGTAGGGGAGGCCATATCACAGGCAGGTTTACATACTCAACAGGATGCGGGACACTGCTCTTTTTCACCCATTGTGTTTCAATCTGGACAAAATGGTGGAAAATGAAACTGTGCCCAGCACATTTTTGTTACAGTGTGACACAGCTCATGCAGAACTGAAACCTCCCGGATGAGGTTTACAATCTCACTGGTGGTGGCACTGGATCTGACGACTGAAGTATTACCCCTACTATGCCTACTTGAGTCAGCAGTTCCAGTTTGACTGTAGTGGAGATGGAGCCCGAATATTGATTTGTGAAAGTATGTGAACTTCCCAGTTTGACGCATTTTGTTTGGATTGTTTCTTCTTGATTCAAAAGCAACCAGCACAGGCAGCATTGGCACAGATTTCACATAAATCTTCTTCTCGGACAGCCAGGTCTGTTAGAGAGAAAGGGAGGGTTTCAAGGAGATGGCAAGAGAATTTATTGGAGAGCAGAGCCATATATCAAGGGATTTGGAGACTCCTTGCCATTACTGTTTTATTGGTTCTAATATTCCTTGGAGCTATTACTGGTATAAGTAAAATCAGCACTTGCAAAAATCTGGCTTAAGGAGTGAAATCAAACCTGAATATATTGGAGAAGAAATGGGACCATGTGGAGGCAAAAGAACATTAGGACATTTGTGGAAGGCTGGTGGAGTTGTGACTTGCAGAATCACGACATTCGTTACACTGGTAGCATCTCTTCCTAAATCATCCATTGTATCAGAGAGCAGATAAATACAAATAATAAAATAAAAAAGCAGGCACTGTAGCAGCCAGCCGAAGAGTCACTATGTGTGTGGTGACAGATCATTGCACAGATCATTCACCTAATTTACATCTCACACCTCTTTTAGGCTTCCTGGAAAAACGCCTTTTTCTACACTGATCAGAGAGGCATTACTCCAGCTCCCAGCTTGCAGTTATCTAGGATGGAGTGGTAGAACCCTGCCTTTCCTGTTAGCCAGAGGGGATAGTGAGCTCTATTGCTTTAAGCCATGTAAATTATCGTGAAACTCCTTGGAGGAAGCTGTTTCATGGTTGCATACAGCGGTCTGAGCTGTACAGGCTACAGCTAAGATCAGCAGGAATGTTCTGGTAAGGGCTCACAGCTAGGGGGGTTCAGGAATGTTCTGGTAAGGGCTCACAGCTAGTGGAGTTCAAGCCCTGCCAGAGGGGCAGTAGAAAGGCAGCATGAACTCTCTCACCTGCTTTGCCTTCTACTACTTGAATATTTAAGGCTGAAAAGTGTGATAAAAATGGGAATGATGTAATAAGAGCTACATACACAGCCTCTCGAAAATCATGGATGCATCTTCTCTTTTGCATGCATGTTGAAACTCCTCAGGGAGATCTTTTTCATCACACGGAGAATAGCTAGCCATTGAAACTGCCACGTGAGGGTTAAAGTGTCTGTTCTCATCCATAAGCTCCTTTAGCTTCTTCACGGACTCAAGGGAGAATTTCAAGTCTCCATCCTATGTGGACAGAACCAGAAAAAATGGAAGTCACTCTTTGTGCAAATCCATTCCAATTCAAACATAACTGCTCCCAAAAAACTATACCACAGGGAAAAGACAGTTTTGAAACAAATCCGAGATAAATTTGGTGCTGGCTGGAGGCAAAATGATCATCTGTTCAAGGCAAGGACCTCTCAAAGTAGGACTGAGCTTTGATTGGCTGGTCAGGTCTTTCGAAGTCTGTATCACAGGGTATAAAGGCAGGATTAGTGCATTTCTCACTCCCTGGAGAGAGACCCATAAAATGTGGGGCCTAAAAACACAGGCTGGGAATCTTCAGCCTTCAGGAGAAGTGACCTAGCAATATGTGGTAGAGGTTTAAAAGATCATGAGTCAAATGCAGGTAAATTGAAATTTATTTTGTTCACACTTTCTTCCAATACACCAGTAGAGAACTCCAAGCCTTGGCTGCCACATGTTAGGCTCTAACCATGCAAAGGTTGCTGTTCCTTCATGTGACACGCTGCTAAGAGCTGAAATCCCTCATCCCAAGGTACTCTGGCAAGTTTCTTTAATTTAAAACTTTTCCATGCAATTAATGGGACACAGTCACTGGCAGCATAAACATGACTCTTCTGACTCAAAGCACATACCAAAAGCTTCAGGAGGCTGGGGGAGTGTTCTGAGGAATGTTACTTCATGTAACATGATTGGTAGACCCAATGCATCTGTTAATGGCCATTCCTTCAGTTTCACATGAATCCCGTGGTTGAGGTCATAAACTTAAATTGCAGTTGTTGCAACTGTTAAGTGAGGTGCATAAGGTCTATATGTGTCTGCACATAGGAGAGAAGTAAGCATTTTCAAATTGACCTTTAGCATGTGTTTCCACCTGGTTTAGTGAGCAATGTGTAGTCAGTGTCAGCCATAGGTGCTGTGAAGTTCAGAAAAGTTGCTATGGCATCCTCTAACAGCTTATCTGCCTGTTAATATTTCACTGGATCCAGCTAAGAATTTCTTTCACTTTTTTTAATATATGTGATATGTGTATGGGCTCCATCACATAAGCTTTCATATCATAAAGAACTTCATGGCTGGCAGCAGGAGAGAGAAGAAAAATTCTCCATTGTCACATCTTGCTTAAACCATTCCATAAAGCTAGACTTGTCCCTTGTTCCTGCAGCTTCACAATACATGGGGTTACGTATAAAAGAAAACCCTGGAAGTGCAGTGCCTCAGTCAGCAAGGGAGTTCAGAACAGTGCTGTGCCTGGTGGAGATGAACAGCAGCAGCCTGTTTGTACCTGAAGCGCTTCATCAAAAGAAAAACTGAATCACTGGGAGATGACGTTGAATAGCAAGCCAGAACAAGGAAAAATTAAGGACTATCAGTTTAGTTCAAGATTCATGTTGTAGCCACAACATTTCACATAATATCAGTACTTCGCTAGCCTTGTAAAACCAACAAATTAAAGATCACAAAACTCACCTGAATGTAGACTGCCTGGGAGCTGTGCACCAGTAAAAGGACTGCAAGGACCATGAAGGGAAGAAAGTCTTTCATAGTGCCTGTGAAGTACATCCTCTCCTAGGCTGAATATTTTTTATTTTCTCTTGCTATTGTCTTTGTCCTCCCTTTGTTTTGCTCAGACTTGCTTCTTCTTAGCACCTTGGCTAGCAGTCAGAGCTCTACTCTCCAAGTGCAAAGCTGGAGCTTTATAAAGACTTCACAAATCATTTTCTTGGTAATCCATTAACCTAAACTCTTTATTGACATATAATAAATCCTATCAGCAGTATCGGTAATCTACTTCTTAGTAAAGTAAGCCAGTCATGCCTAGGCAGATCCTGGGGTTTATGAGTCCCTCTTACTTTGAGAAATGACATTGGCATGCAAAGCATTCCAGCCTGCAATAAATAAATGGTAGAGATGGATCTAATGCAAGAGCTGAAAGTCTCCGAATAGGGAATGTGCTCGGGCTTCTGGTCACTTCCTGTGAGAGAGAAAGAAATTTAGAAGGAGACAGAACAAAAATGGATCTCTTGCACTAATTGCTGGCCAGGTGGGTACCTCTCTTGGGGATTCCATGTACTAAAGGGGTAGCAATGGACCGAGGCAGATGAACACAGGCTGTGCCTGTGTTTGACTAGAGATAAAATATCATCTTGCTGCTACTTTTTGCAGCACCTACTTTAAATGCACACATTAAAATGCACAGGGATTGTCATTAAGGATAAAGGCTGACATGAATCAAATAAATTTCTCTGAGACTTTCAGTCTTATCCAGAAAAATGATAATGTCACACAGATGGAGAAGCATCGATGTGCCTCCCTCAGCTCAGGTCCTTTTATCTGGGAATGATTTCTGGCATACTGTGGCTCTGGAGTAGCAACACACCATGCCAAACAACCCTCCTGAAACTGGCAGAGCAGACGATGGCAACAGCTAGCCACTTTCTCAAATCTCAGCAATGTTTTATGCCAGCCAAGGCTCTAATTAGGTCTTACTGTATTCCAATCTATTGCTAAGATGACATTGAATACTACCATGCTGCTTGGTATAAAATCCCAGGAACTAAATCAGCCTGGAGTTCCCAGGCTTTATATGGAGGGAATGGGACTCATCTGGTACAGGATAACCCCAAAATTTCAGTAAAGCTGAAGCTGGTAGTGCTGACTGCTTACTGATAGACTGAGCTTCTCTCCCCTCCACCAGTCCAGTCTACTCCTCATCCATGAAACTGCATCCCCTAGAATCATCTCTATTACCACAAAGTGAGTTTGCTTTCTCTGCTTTCCACGCTGCTGTTGTGGTTTAACCCCAGCTGGCAACTAAGCACCACGCAGCCAGCCACTCATCCCCCCCACAATGGGAAAGGTAGAGAATCAGAGGAGTAAAAGTGAGAAAACTCCTGGGTTGAGATAAAGACAGTTTAACAGGGAAAGCAAAAGCCGCACGTGCAAACAAAGCAAAGCAAGGAATTAATTCACCACTTCCCACGGGCAGGCGGGTGTTCAGCCATCGCCAAGAAAGCAGGGCTCCATCACACGTAGCGGTTAATTGGGAAGACAGATGCCATCACTCTAAATGTCCCCCCTTCCTTCTTCTTCTCCCAGCTTATATACTGAGTACGATGTCATATGGTGTGGAATAGCCCTTTGGTCAGTTTGGGTCAGCTGTCCTGGCTGTGTCCTCTCCCAGCTTCTCATGTACCTGGCAGAGCTGAGAGCTGAGAAGTCCTTGCCCAGTCTAAGCACTACCCAGCAACAACCAAAACATCAGTGTGTTATCAAAATTCCTCTAGTATTAAATCCAAAACATAGCACCATTCCAGCTACTAGGAAGAAAATTAACTCTGTCCCAGCAGAAACCAGGACAGCTGCTGTGGCCAACAGCCAACATCATGCCTGTGCCCTTAATTGCTCTAAAATTGGTCATGTTGTAGAGTGCACTTTCTAGCTCAAACAGAATCCAACATACAGTATTTGCTAAGGCCACAAGCTGTGAATTGTCACCACAATACGCTGACCAAACTACTCAGTGACGTGGAGGAAGGCCCCCAAAATGGATGCAAACCAGAAAGACAAGGCAGCCCCAACCATCAGAGGCTGCACCCATTAAGATAAGAAAAAGAATGTCCTGCCTGGAGGAAGAGAAAGGGTCCAGTGAGGGACAAGACAACCCCAGACCCAAATACTGATAATGGACTGAACTGTCACATGAGGGGAGAAGAACTTAAATCGCAAGGGTTATAATTGCCCAGGGATTTCTTTGTTTGGGGTCCCTCTCTGGAGGCATCCAGCTCCAGCTGGTTTTTACCACTGTTCCAAACAATAAATCCATCTAGCAAATGTCATGTCAAAGACTCTGCCTCAGGGAAATGGAGGGTCAGGCCCTAGGGGAGAGGAAGAGCCCAGGGGTGAGCGTGTATGAGCAAGGAGGCAAAAAGGGGCACCCGTCAGCTCAGCGGAGCTGCCACTGTCAAGAGAATCCAGTCCCAGCAGGTGAAGTCTTGGGTGGTGTGTGTACGACCCCCCGAATTCTAGCAAAGTGCTCAGGGAGCAGCTTCCCCTTGGTGTAACAGCAGAGGACATGGCAATAGCCTGGAAGTTTTGCAGAGGTGTCATGAGAGAAAGCCACGCCTAGAGTCCAATTTGGTGAAGCCAAGGGTAAGAAAGCAATTAAATGTAGGGAATGAAAAGGTACATTGAGCAGCACAACACAGGTGATTGAAAACTGCTCCCCACTGCATCCTTGGTTCCCAGAAGTGCTGGCTCATGATGCCACTTGGAGCATGGAATACCGCTTTTCATCAGTGTCATGCCTGGAAATCTCAGCGCTTCTGATCCGACTGCTTTTCCATATGTCATGAGGTACACATTCTCCCCTCCACCTTATTTTAAAAAACTCCAAAGAGAATTACAGCTGGCTTACACTGGATTTTTCACTAATTTATCTAAGAGTTACACCAAGCTCTGATGCCCATTTTCGTCCATTACTTCACACCCCTCATTTCTGTCTTGTTTAGACACTATTAAGATAATAATGGAGAATTTAAACCCTTGAGTGGAACTGTTGCAATTTTTGTCTGGATTAATCCAATCCACCTATAAGTTTTTCCAAGTACTTGGAAAGAAAGGACTCCCTGTCAAAACTCAGATTGTGTGCCTTGCCTGTTTGCTGTACTGTTCTTAATTGATGGGAATCACTTATGCTTTAGAGGAAATGGGGCCTTTCCTCAGAATGGTTGTCCAGTGCCTTCACAAGGAGTCTTAGCAGCATTCCCCCAAGCATGGGCGGGGATGATGGGAGCACGTACCTAAGCAAGAAAAATCTTTAAGATGAAACAGAGTCACCTAGCACACTTAGTCACCTCCAGGAATGACTTTTTTAGGCTGTACCTTTGAATTAAAAGGTCTACAGCAAGCATAAATCTGGAACTAGGCCCCTAAATGCTTTTTGTGCTCAACCTGTATTGTAGCCAGCTTGAGCTTAGCCATGAGAAGGGTGAGAGCTGAAGAGAAAGAGCTATGAGATTTCTGATACCAGTGGATCTTTAAGTATGCTGAAAAGACAGTGTGTCTACCTATTGTTTTACTCTTCCAGTGCCATTAAAGCCCCCTGAGCTTTTCAGTTTGGGGTGGGGGGCAGCAAGCATGGCACACAAATACCAAGAAAGAGAGAAACTCCTTGTGCAGGTTTGTGGGAGATGCTGGGGGGAGGTGTGGGGCTGTGAGGTGCTTCTGGGGGCAACAAGGGGTCCATAGGAGGCACACATACGTGAGGATGGCTTCTCCGTGCCAGGGCTGCATGTGGGCTGGGCTCTGTGGTGGTAACTGGGGGGTTTCTGGGGTGGGGGCTTTGGCAGAAGCTGCTTTGCAGTGGGGTAGGCTGTGGTGGGGCAGACTGGGGGAGGGGAGGCCACTCTACAACAGTGCAGGATTTGGGGCAGTTTCTGGTCTGTGGCCGCATGCACCTAACACAGCAACACCCCCAGACCCCGAAGTTTCCCCCCCAGACTGGCAGCAACCGCCCTGGCACAGCCCCCAAAACCTGTCAGCAACCTCCAAGCCCACGAACTCCCCCAAGACCAGGGGCACGCCTTAAAGCTGCCAACAGCCTCCCAGGTCCAGGAAGAACCGCCAAAGACAGAAACACCCCCAAAGCGGGCACCTGCCCCCAGACCAGGCAGCAACACCCCCCAAAAATGGCAGCACTTCCGGCCCCAGCGGGGCGTAGCCGCCCCGAGCCCGGGGAGCTGAGGCCATGCCATGGCAGCAAGGGGCGGCCCCTGGGCCGGACCCCGCAACTCGGCCGGGACAGGGAATGGAGACCGGAGCAGGGAGCTGGCCCAAGTCCAGC